GTGCGGGGAGGGCTATGCCGTAGCTAGCCTGCCGCTCGGTTGCAGCAGGTTGCCTAGCTGGCATAACGACGGTAAGCGTCTAAGGTGAAATAAACAAATGTTTTTATTTGCCGGCCATGGTTTCCTTTAAAGAGGAAAGGTGCGGGCTTGCAGGCTGCCTTTGCTCCGAAGGAGAAGGAGTGAGCCCACCGTTTTTCCTTCTTCCCGGAAAGAACTCCTGGATCTGGTGCTGCCTGGCTGCCCCTCGCCCCCTCTGCGGGCCGTGGGGTCGAGTGTGTTCAGGTTTGTCCCGCTCATGGCAGAGCAAAGGAATGGAGCTGTGAGTTTTGAACTAGGGTAATGTTATTGTCAAGCCGCCTGGAAAAGGATTAGTCTCCTCTCTCTCTTCTGCTCCCCCCCTTCCTTAAAATAACAGCAGGTAGGGAGCAGAAAAGCTGATTTGTGCTTCATCTGACCGAGTTCTTTAGTTGTGTCACTAGGGCATCTTTGAGGTGATTACTTCGTAGAGGTTTTGATGTTGTCTGTCTAAGTCTTCATTTACTTTTCTAAAAATATGTTCTCTTGCAGAAGGCTTGCATCAGAATTTTTTGCTGATATTCCTTGGTAAGAAAAAAACCCTTGGTTCTGTAACTTTGAAAACTTATATTACTTTCTTAATGCTTGTTACAGAAGGCTTTTAACAATTTGTAAAAAGCTGGTATTTTTTGCTTTTTCTTCATACAAGGAGCAGTGTCTATCACAAGTAATTTGTAAACTAATGACAAGAAGGTTTCCTAAGGTTGATTTTTGACCTATATAACCAGAAACCCAAGACATCTGAAATTAACACTTATTCAGCTTACACTAGAGAAATGTGAAGCTAAGAGATGGAATATATTTAAAACTTGTTGCTAGCAAAGAAAATATTGTTTGTATAAACAGTTGTATATGTATTAATACACACTTTAGCAATGGTTTGTTTCCTTTTCAGTAAAGAAGAATGTCATTGTTTAAAGCTAGAGACTGGTGGTCCACCATACTTGGAGAAAAGGAAGAATTTGACCAAGGCTGTCTGTGTGTTGCTGATGTTGATAATAGTGGCAGTGGACAAGGTAAATTCAGAATTACATGGTTGCTGACTTTTAAGCTACACAGCTGCAAATTTGCTTTGACCAATGCACACTGAAAGCTTGCTAGCCAGGCTAGTTGGCTAGTTAGTTTAAAGTCTGTTATCTTTACTGTGTCTTTGTAGGCTTAAGGAGACAAATTCAATGCTATTTGCCTTTGTATACTTGTAGGTTTCTAAACATCTTAATTCTTGCTTGTGTTCCATACTAACTTATTCCCTCATGTCTTATTCCCTCAATGGTAGATAAAAAATAGAACATTTGCAGTTAGTCATGGGAGCAAATACACATTGTAAGTCATTGAAAAAACTTAAGGAAAAAAAGGAAGATGAGTGCTAATAAGCTAAGAATTTAGAAAAACAAACAACCTTTTCTGCCTGGAAAATAAGGGGCCATCGAAAGAAGTCACTCTGCTTGAGTAAGCCCTGCTTTCCTATATAGTCATTAATAATGTGGAATAATCTTTGCTGTCAGGGACAGTTCTTGTGTGTGTTGGGTTTTTTTAAATTAATAAACGTTTGGGATCTTTCTCTAGGATACATTCGTCCTGGAGCTCTGTTTTTGCTCAGTAGAGGTACCTGAGTTTGATTTCACCATTTCCATAGTCTTTTAAAATTATCTTTATTTTAGATTGTTCCTTTTCAGGAGGATTTGAACAAAGCTGAACTGTTACTAGTTTGGTGTACAACCTTTTTCAGTAGAAATTCATAGAATCATAGACCCATTTAGGTTGGAAAAGACCTTTAAGATCATAAAGTCCAACTGTTAACCTAGCACTGCCAAGTCCACTACTAAACCACGTCTCTAAGCACCATGTCTACAAGTCTTAAATACCTCCAGGGACGGGGACTCAACCACTTCCCTGGGCACCATGTTCCAGTGCTTCATAAACCTTCCAGTGAAGAAATTTTTTGTAGTGTCCAATCTAAACCTCCCCTGGTGCAACTTGAGCCCATTTCCTCTTGTCCTATTGTTATCTGCTTGGGAGAAGAGACTGACACCCACCTCACTACAGCCTCCTTTCAGGTAGTTGTAGAGAGCAATAAGGTCTCCCCTCAGCCTTTTCTTCAAGCTAAACAATGCCAGTTCCCTCAGCTGCTCCTCATAAGATTGTGCTCTAGTCCCTTCACCAGCTTTGTTGCCCTTCTTTGGAAACACTCCAGCACCTCAATGTCTTTCTTGTACCGAGGGGCCCAAAACTAAACACAGTATTTGAGGTGCAGCTTCACCAGTGCTGAGTACAGGGGGGTGATCACCTCCCTGCTCCTGCTGGCCACACTATTCCTGATACCAGCCAGGATTCTATTGGCCGCCTTGGCCACCTGGGCACGCTACTGGCTCATATTGAGCTGTCTGTTGACCAGCATCCCCAGGTCCTTTTCTGCCAGGCAGTTTTCCAGCCACTCTTCCCCAAGCCTGTAGCATTGCATGGGGCTGTTGTGACCCAAGTGCAGGACCTGGCACTTGGCCTTGTTGAACCTCATACAATTGGCCTTGGCCCATCGATCCAGCCTGTTCAGATCCCTCTGTAGAGCCTTTCTACCCTTAGGCATTTCAACACTCCTGCCCAGCTTGGTGTCATCTGCAAAATTCCTGAGGGTGCACTTGATCCCCTTTGTCCAGATCATTGATAAAGATATTAAACAGAACTAGTCCTGGTGCTGAGCCCTAGGGAACACCACCTGTGACTGGCTGCCAACTGGATTTAACTCATTCACCATAACTCTTTGGGCCTGGCCATCCAGCCAATTTTGTACTCAGCAAAGAGTATGCCCATCCAAGCCATCAGCAGCCAGCTTTTCCAGGAGAATGCTGTGTGAAATGGTGTCAAAGGCTTTACTGAAGTCTAGGTAGACAACATCCACTAAGTGGGTCACCTTGTCACAGAAGGAGATCAGGTTGGTCAAGCAGGACCTCTCTTTCATAAACCTGTGCTGACTGGGCCTGATCACTTGGTTGTCCTGTACATGCTGTGTGATGGCACTCAAGGTGATCTACTCCATAACCTTCCTTGACACTGAGGTCAGACTTGACAGGCCTGTAGTTCCCCAGATCTTCCTTCTATCCCTTCTTGTAGAGGGGTATCACTTTTCTTAACCTCCAGTTGTTTGGGACCTCCCCAGTTAGCCAGGACTGCTGATAAATGATGGAAAGAGGCTTGGTGAGCACTTCTACCAGCTCCCTCAGTACTCTTGGGTGGATCCCATCTGGCCCCATAGACTTGTGTGTGTCTAAGTGATGTAGCAGGTTGATAACCATTTCCCCTTGGATTTTGGGGGCTTTGTTCTGCTCCCTGTCCCTGTCTTCCAGCTCAGGGGGCTGGGTACTCCAAGAACAACTGTCTTACTATTAAAGACCAAGGCAAATAAGGCATTAAGTACCTCAGCCTTTGTTTCCTCCCACATCCAATAAAAGATGGAGATTCTCCTTAGCCCTCCTTTTGTTGCTAATGTATTTATAGAAACACTTTTTTTAATTGTCTTTTATGGCAGGTTAAGTTCTAGTTGGGCTTAGCCCCTTCTAATTTTCTCCCTGCACAACCTTACGACATCCTTGTAGTCCTCCTGAGTGGCCTGCCCCTTCTTCCAAAGGTCATAAACTCTTTTTTTTTTTTTTTTTTTTTGCCTGAGTTCCAGCCAAAGGTCTCTGTTAAGCCAGGCCGGTTGTCTTCCCCTCTAGCTCATCTTTCAGCACGTAGGGACAGTCTGCTCCTGTGCCTTTCAGATTTCCTTCTTGAAGAATGTCCAGTCTTCCTGGACCCTTTTGCCCTTCAGGACTGCCTCCCAAGGAACTCTGTCAGCCAGGCCCCTAAACAGGCCAAAGTCTACCCTCTGGAAGTCCAAGACAGCACTTCTGCTAACCCCACTCCTTGCTTCTCCAAGAATCAAAAACTCTTATAATTTTGTGATCGCTATGCCCAAGATGGCCTCCAACCATCACATCACCCACAAGTCCTTCTCTGTTCACAAACAACCAGTCCAGTGAGGCGCCTTCCCTAGTTGGCTCACTCGCTAGCTGTGTTGGGCAGTTATCTTCCACACACTCCAGGAACCTTTTAGACTGTTTCCTCTCTGTTGTATTGTATTTCCAGCAGACATCTGGAAGTCCCCCATGAGAACAAGGGCTGGCAATTGTGAGACTTCTCCCAGCTGCTTATTTCATGTGCTTCTTCATCCTGGTTGGGTGGTCTATAACACACTCTCACCATGATATCTGCCTTGTTGGTCTTTCCCCTGATTCTTACCCGTAAACACTTGACCCTTTCATCACCATCATCAAGGTCTAGATGGTCAAAATGCTCCCTAATGTACAGGGCTACCCCACTGCCTCTCCTTCCTTGCCTGTCCCTTCTGAAGAGTTTCTAGCCATCCATTGCAGCACTCCAGTTGTGTGAGTCATCCCACCATGTTTCTGTGCTTGTAACTATGTCATAGTTTTCCAGCTGCACAGTGGCTTTCAGCTCCTCCTGTTTGTTGCTCATGCTGTGTGCAATGCTGTAGATGCACTTCAGTTGGGCTATTGATCCTGACACCTTTTTTTGGGGAGAAGTCCTAATTCCTATGTGATCGGTCTCAGGCACTTCTGTGGTTTCTAACACATTAATAACCCTAGAGTTTTTTCTGCTGTGTGGATCTCCATCCCCTGCCTCCACTGAGATGGTAGACTGAAGGACCTTGCTAGCACACTGTCCCTCAAACTTTGGTGTACTGCCCCCAGGCTCATCTCTAGTGAGCCTGGTTTTATTCCTTTTCCCCTTCAAATCTAGTTTAAGGCTCTTTCAGTGAGCCCTGCTAACTCCTGTGCAAAGATCCTTTTCCTCCTTTGAGACAGGTGTACCCCATCTGTAGCCAGCAGGCGTGGTGTTGTGTAGACCGACCCATGATCAAAAACCCCAAAATTCTGTCGGAGTTCTGAACAGTCTTTTCCTAGTGGGAAAAAAATGTGATTGATGTAAAAGCAAGACTTAAATAGTGTTGTGGGAGTAGTAGTCTGCTGTTTTATTTACTTTCTCAACATGTATTTTCTCTTTGTTTTTAGACTAGATTCTTTTTCTTCCAGAGTTCAGGACGAAAAGTGAATCCGCTAGTTGCAATTGCCTAGTCACAGGTCAAAATGTCCTCAGTTAAGTTTAAGTATTTTTAAGAAATTGATAACTAAAATGGATTTAGTTTACTGCTGATGGAATACTGGTTACTGAACTGAGGAAAAGATCAGAGTCGGTATTCTCTAAATGAGGGACTTAGGGGTGCAAGTTTTTTGTGGCTGAAGAAGAAGAGGAAGCAAGCAGCTGTTTTGAGCTTTCGATGTGGGGTCCTATGGAACTATGCCAAGCCTTTAGAGCCTCATGAACTTGGTTTAGGAGTATTTGTATGTTCTCCTGACTTGTGGACAGGTTTTATTGGTTTTGATTTTGATCTGCATTGATATGATGACCTATGTCTAGACTAAGTAAGTACTGGCAACCAACTTGGGTTGTTGGTTATTATCATGGGAGGCACCTCTTTGGGGTTTTTTCATTAATAACTCTTCTGTTATTCACTAACAGCGAAATGACTACTTGCTTAAAATACTGATTCCAAATAACTCTGATGTAACTATTGCATTCTTCTGAGATAATGGATCTGTCTCAAGAGCAGGTGATCTCAAGGCCTAGCTTTGTTGACCTGATGTAGTAATTATCTGGCTTTAGTTTGCATTTGGATAAATGTCATTGGTCCAAATTTTAAAATTTCACACTTCTGCTGGTGTGATATGTGTACGCACAAATCCAAGATGTAGAAGCTGCAAGTTTGAAGTACTCCTCAAAACCAGAATGGGACTTTTTGAGAAGTGCGAACATCAATCTAAAATGATGGAATAGTGACGATGGTCAGTAACACCACCATGATAGTTGCCATACTGGACCCTTTGCTGACAGGTTTTCATAGATTTGCAAAAAAGCTAATTGCTAATCTTAACCTAGAAGACAGAGCATAATCGACATTAATTGAATCATGTAAATATTCTATCTTTGAAGCACTTCTGCAGCAAATTGAATTCCATATGTACTATTGTATTCTGTAGTCTCCTTTGGTTATTTGCTTTTTTATTTTTTTAGATAAAATTATTGTGGGCAGTTATATGGGATATCTCCGAATCTTTAGTCCACATCCTGTGAAACCTGGAGATGGAGTACAACCTGAAGACTTGCTCTTGGAAGTGCAGTTACGAGAACCAATATTGCAGGTGGAAGTGGGAAAATTTGTTTCGTAAGTCAACAACAGGCTATGTTGCTGTTTATTTAATGCTTAGATGTGATTTTCTCTGTTTGGGGGTGAGTTTTCAATTTCCAGATGGACAACTATTAAGCACATCTATGAGTATGCATTCGATCTGCTTCTTGAATCATCTGGATATGAGAGAACTTCTACTTAATGTATATGTGGAGGATAATCTTCCAGATATTTGTATGTTTTTTTAAAAGTATGTAGAACAGGCAAAACCTTATATTGAAAGGTTTTTTAGGTGTTAAGAAAACTTGGGTAACTTGTTATGATCCAAGATGTAATATTGGCCAGTTGTTTTGGGTTTGATAGAGGATGGAAGATGAATCCTTTAAGAACTTTTTTTAAAAAAAAGTTCTCCTAAGTAGATTCTCTTACAGCCAATATATGTTCTTAAAGGATTCATTTTAATTTTGAAATTAAATTCTAATACTGCAGCATGAACTTTATTTTAAGAATGAGAGGAAAAACCTGTACTAACCATGGGAAGGACTTGTGCTCTGAGACCAAAGGCCACAAGCTGAAAGGCCTACATCAGTTGGCAACTGTTGTCCTTTTATTCAAGTACTCATGGAGTGGCCCTGTGCAGGAATTCTAATGCCTCACCCTGTGAAATCAGAGAATCATAGAATTGTTTAGGTTGGAAAAGACCTTTAAGATCATCCAGTCCAACCATTAACCTAACACTACCAAGTCCACCACTAAACCAATTAAGGGTAGAGTAATAATTAATTTCATGTTTCCTGGCTTGGTGGCTGGATTATTTTTTAATGAAAGTAAAACTAGAATAGAATCATTAAGGTTGGAAAGGACATCTAAGATCATCAGTCCAACCATCAATCCAACACCACCATGCCTACTAAACTGTGTCCCAAAGTGCCACATCTACACATGATCTAAATGATCTAGAACATTTTCTACAGTTACAGCACAAGAACTTTCTCTGCAGGAAATACTACTTAGGTTTGGGGGAAGAAGAATGTGAATATAGGATTCCAAGTTTATGACTTCTGCCTTACAGTTTAATTAATTTAGGTTCCATGCAGTAGTACAAAAGTGAACTTTAAAAAAAAAGAATGTATGCGGTTGCTCAATAATACTTGGAGTGATGATCCTCATATCCATTTGGGTTTTGGAAGAATTAACAGCGCCTTGTTTGAAATGAATTTCAAGCTAAACTGGGAAAATAGTTGACTTGCTCTTCATACTTAATTCTGAAAATATGTTCTTAAAGGATTCATTTTAATTTTGAAATTAACTTCTGAAACTGCAGCATGAATTTAGGAAGATTAGTACTTCTGAGTTTTTATGCTAGCATCTAACACCCAGACCTTTGTACTTGGCCCACACCTGAAAGTAATTTCAATGTTACTTGAATTTTATCCTGTATGCATTTTACTTGGATTTTGTCTGAAAACAGTGCTTTTTTTAAACCTTCTTTACAGTGGTACTGAAGGACTTCATCTGGCTGTGTTGCATTGCCGAAAACTCTGTGTATATGCTGTCTCAGGTTAGTTTATAGATACAAGCTTTCCAGTAATTTAAGTGTATTCTAAAAATTGGATTAGGTTAAATGCTGAACTTGGTATATACAGTGTTTGCTTATCATCCCTCAAGAGCTGCAGTCATGTTCTCTCACTCACTCATGTATGAAGAGGAAACATTAGTAATTAGGTCTAGATATTTCCCAATGGTTAATGAGATTTGCTGATCCACTCGGTGCTTGAGATGCTATGATGTGTGTGATGGTCTGTGGTTGGCAGTGCTTGTGAATAACTAGTTCTCATTACAATTTTAGAAGTGGGTGTTACTGTTCAGCATGCTAATGAACAAATGGGTGTTTAATGACAACTTAGCTCTTTAAAAATGAAACAATTATAACTATTTTTGAACTCAAAAATCCAGATAATTTCTTAGAAAGCCAGAACACTGGTAGTGTAGCCCAGGAGAAGATAAGAGGTTAATATTGGTAAGAAGGTGAAACTACTATGTTTTTTCTTAAATCCTCTTTCTTCTACTGCCCTTGTCTGGAAATTAAGTGCTGTGTTCCCTCTGTATGTAAAGAGGCAAGTCACAAAATACCTGTTCTATGCATTGAATTCTCTCTAATACATGCTTAAAGCAAAGCACAGGTTTAAGAGATCTATCGATTGTACCCCCATCTTCAAAAGTCAGTAGACAACTATACATTGTTCATTTTCTGTGTGCAGGGACAGCTGTGGCTCCTTTCGTTAAAAGCACATGGTTTTCTTGTAGGACCAGCTTGCTTCCTATTCACAGCCTTGTAGGCAGATAGCTTATGAACACATGCTCTCTTTCCAGATTCTGTTTGCTTTCTAGTTATCTTACCTGGAGATACCTGTAAAATTAGTTGTTGAGGGGTGATACTTTGAGATGTACTGCAGTTTTCATACTTTCCCTTCTCTGTAATAGTGCTTATGTCTTAGGATTATAGCCTACCAGTACAATTTTTATTAAAACAATTTATTTTAAAATTTGCATTAATGGCATACAACAATAAGTCTAACATTTTTTCCAGTTATAATTTGCTGTTTGGTCTACATGGCTTAAGCATTTACATAATAATAAAAGTAAAGTTTTACAATCCATTAATAGACTTTTTGTATTAATTTGTGAGCATTCATGCTGTAATGGTAATGTCTCTCATCTGAACAGGTACTTTCAAACAAGCTCCTCTGAGAAATAACAATCATTATTTCTTTATGCTTCTATGGCAAATTACACTTTCATGAAGTGGGATTTTTTACTTGCTTTATACATGTTACTATATCTATTATTCATAATAAAATAACTATGCTGCTTCTCCTTGACAAATGAAAGCATCCTTCAGGGCTGACTATAAAGTGTGGCCTGGATATTGTATTACAGTCAGTATACACAGACTGACTACCTTCTAACTTGTTTTTCCTCTGGTGTTGCTACTTAGCTAGTTACTTATCCAGCCAGGGTTTTTCCCTCAGGTCTGTTGCAATCCTTTCCCTAATATGGGCCTGCTTTAGGGTAATTGCTTAAAAGCTATATTGGATTTCAGCTGAAGGAATTGCCCAAAAAGTTAGCATAAGCTACAAATCTTTCATAGCATGTTGTTTAAGATGGTGTTGGAATAATCTTTGTATACTTAAAGCTGTGGCAGGATTTAGCTTAGATATCATTCACTCAAAACCCCTTTTTCCCTGCTGACGTGACTGTTCTCAAAGGTGGTTTTGGTTTGTTTTTTTTTTTCTTGCTAATATTAGTCCTTAAGTGTTACTCTATGTGGAGAAGAACTTTTTCTTCATGGGGTGCAGGAAAGACTTTTGATTATTGAAAGGGAAGCTTTAACTTCAGTTTCTTTAGAAAGACTTTTTGAATTTCTGCTAGTTCCCTAAAGGAGTCAGGAAATTAAAGTTCATGCAGACCTTTACAGAGAATGTGATGTATATCATAAAATTATTTTTGTTACCGTATGTTTGTCTCTTTTGCATTGTTGATCACTGCATTGAATTTCAGACAGAGTAAAGGCAAGTGATAAATGTGCCCTAAGCATAGCTTTGTCAAATTATAGCTAATGACTAGCTACATCTTCATTTGAGACAAAGACTTGCAGCTGAGGCTGGCTGCTGGATATAGAATATTCACTGATTAACTAGAGAATCATAAGAACTCCCCTTTGAGCAGGCTTTTTTTCTGATCTTAGAGGTGTGCCTAACATGAAGAAAAATACATTTAAGTAATAAAAATCTCAGCCTCTTGCTAAGTCTTTATACCATATTTAGTACAATGAGACCGTATTTCTGGTTCTGGCCTTTAATTTTGTAGCTTGATGATTTTCCTTTTTTTTTAAAGAAAGCAGCAGTGTGAGCCTTCATGTCTCAGACTCACTAGGAGTAAGTTATAGTTTTTCATGTTGTTTAAACTGGTACTCCTTTACTTCTTCCACATTGCATGGATCAAAGATACGAATATATGTCCTTTGATTTTTGTAGGAACTCTGGGAAATGTGGAACATGGGAACCAGTATCAGATTAAACTGATGTATGAGCACAATCTTCAGAGAACTGCTTGTAATATGACTTATGGTCCATTTGGTGGTGTAAAAGGTAAGCTCCTTACTGCATATTCTTTATTATTACTTGTTTAACTCTGAACAGTTGAGGATTAACTTAAATTTTGAAAGGCAACATGATGCTGCTGTCTAGAGGAAACAATCTTTCTATGAATGATGGTACCTTGTATCTGATGCATATAGAAAATAACTGAAGTTAAAATGAGGCAAAGGATATTAAATGCAGGATAGTTGTTTCCTCACATCTTGAACAGGATATGAATTTACAAGGATAATACTGATTTTAAAAAGCATTACAAAAACCCTGGCTCTTCCCTTGTCAAATACTTTAACATCTAAAATAATTGTTTTCTTCTGTGCTTCAGTTCTGTTTTGCTTTTCTGCAATTTGCTTTAATTCTGTTTTGCTTTTCTGCAACTTCCTTATCCTGGACAAAGAAAGAAGTTAATATGTTCATGCTCTGAACCTAAAATGTCAAGTGTCTTTAAAGATAGTTAATGGAGACTTTTTAAAAAAATATTTAAACTTTGATTGGAAAAACATAGCAGTAGATAATATTTGTTTTTTTTGTAGTTTGGAATGAGTTTAATAGATACCAGTCTTTTTTGAACTTGTGACACAATTATGAATGTTTTCGTGTTCCAATCTGGAAGCATTTAGGTTTGCTCTACATGACAGCTCTTTCTCTTCAGAAGTAAAGTTTGCCCAACAATACTGGGGGGGGGTAGTAGTCATCTACACAAGTAGTGTCCCTAAACTGTTGGCAGAGTGATATCACTTTACCAAGGCAGAAAGTCTTCTGAGTCAATATGGCAAATACATACAGACGATCCCTCAGTTCTGTGTCTGTAATAATCTTCTAGTAATAGTTCTACAATGCCTTACCCTAAACTCAAGCTTGTCACTGGGCTTAAATTCAGCTGACCAAAATTCATAGTGATTGAAGAGATTTTCACCTACTAATTTTGCACAAGCACCTTGGGAAAAATGGTCAACTCATACGTCTGGGAAGGTATCTATGCTATAAGTATCTCGAGGGGTGAGTGTATAGGGCATGGGCATATTCCTGTTAACAGCAGAAAGACAATATGGAGTTTCCCAAATCTGAGAAGAGGGAATAGTGTGCTTACCATATACTATGGTGGAATTGCAGTAACAGATGTATTGAGGGAATCGTAAGCTAAGAGTTGTGAGTGTCTGGAATGGTTCAGGGATAAAACAAATACCCATGTACCACCATGCAGTTCTGCAGAACAAACTCTGGATTTTTGACATGCATGTTTGCTTACCATGGACATCTGAGTAGAGGTCTGACCGCTGGCTCAATTTGATGCCAGACCTGTCTCTTATATACCTTATCATGAGCTGTGGGGGATGCAAGTGATGCAATGAAGAAAATGTCTTTGCAAGCTAGGGAGACAGAAGGTAATGTTTACCTCGGAACCTACTCAGCCAGCCAAACACTTTTCAACACCTAGGATGGTCAAAATGAGGGCCAATCCTGACAAAGCGGCAACAGCACTAGAGGGAACTCTGGTAAGTTCTGCAAGCTCTTCTTATTTTCTATTAGCACTTCTGCCCCAGCATGTCAAGCTGCTTTCCTTTTCCTTTCTTCTTCCCCATGTTCCAGTTAGCATTAGTGCATTTGCTGCTGTGGAGAAATCATGACCTCAAGTCTTGTTTTGAGGTGGCAAAAATGTTACTAAACAAGGTAGGTGGAGACTTGTTATGTAATAAATAATACATGTTCATATCATAAGCTGAAGAAGCTTTCTGTTTAAGACCTAAATCTAGGAAAATCACAGTGAATGTTTAGGTACCTGATAGCAGGCTACTAAAGCATAATTGAAGCATCAGAGAAATAGGCAAAATAGACACTGGAGAAGGTTCTTCTGGAGAAATGAAAGAATGTTCTTTTGTACATTTGCTGGACTGGATGTCCTTTTTATGTGGCTTTCCTGGACTGTCTGATTAGATTACTTGTCAAGGATGTGCTTTTAATCTTGCCCCTAGCCTTTTGCAGTGAATCTATTTCAGTTTTTTGAAGTATCATCTTTAATACCCTGTTCTCTCTTTGAGTCTTATGAATGACAGTGTTGTGGTTTGATTTCCATCTTGCAAGAGCAGCCAGAGTGAATGAGAAAGAGGGTCTATCAAGCACTGTTAATTTTAGTAAACAGATGCCTGTTCTGGTCTGGCCTGCCATACTATCTGTGTGTATCTTTGGCAGATGTTCTGGGCTGCAGTTGAGAGCCAACCAGCCTGTAAATAAGTGGTGTGTGGTGGTGTGGTTTTTTTTTTTTACTATCTGCCTTCCACAGGCTTCTCTGGTATTCTTGCCAGGCATCTGTTAACAGTCTCTCTTGCCTTCAGCAGAGGTTAATTCACAATGGTGGCAGTGCTGTGAGTGTGCAGCAGTGAGCTTGCTTTGCTAACAGTCTGACCTCTACACCATACTCTAGAAGTGGACTAACAAAACATAGGGAGGGTTTTCGTATCTATTGTCTTCTGTTACTGCTGTGACTAACGTGTGTCATTGCTATACTCAAGCATCCTTGAAACAATGTGAAGGTGAAAGAGGCACTTCAGAGGTCATGTTTACAGAGCTACTGGAGCAGACAGGAGAATGACAGTTGAACAGAAGGAGAAAAGCATGTGTCCGGGGAAAGCATGCGGTGGGAGTGTCAGGGAGGAAGGTGAAAGTAAGTCCCCCAGGAACATAATCTTTCATCTGAGGAAGCAAAGAATGCTGCAGGAGTTGACGCAGAGCACTTGATCTATGAAGTTGCTCAGTCTTACTCATATTTCTCTTGCTGAAGATTATGCTTTTTTCTTTTCCTATTAATCCTATACCTTCAGTGGTGAAGAAAATAATTTTAACCAGCTGTACTAATTAACACTGGCAAAAGAAAAATAGGATTGAGTTTGCGTACACTAGTTTGTACTGGTGTCCTCTAATGCATTCTTGAGGGTTTTCTGTCCTTTCTTGTGATGAACAGTTATTTGGGTTCTAGTTAATGCTCTGTTTCTCTTTTGTTAGACTGCTTCCAAACAGTTGCCTGTCAATTTAATGGATACTGCTGAAAATGATCCATTCGCTACTGCTTGCTCTTACCTCAGATAAAATACTTTCCTCTTGGCATTCTGATTTCTCCTGTAATCATTCATAATGTGATTTTGACCCATGTGCAGATGCAGTCTGTGCTGTCTAGTAGGCCACTACAGCTGTGGCCTTAACTGAGATGCTAAGTGCTCTGTTAGTCTCTTGATGCTGTAAGTTTGCATAGTCAGTTTTGAAAATTGAGATGTAAAGCCAGCACATAGTTTCCATTTCCCATCCTGCATCTCCTTTGGCATCTGGGGTGGCCTCTGCTCTTTCCTTTGGAAAAAGTTTCAATTTCCTTTGAAAAAGGAAGGCTGAACAGTGAAGAAGGTGGCTGAGGCTTGCCTTTTCCTGACTGCTGCCGCCTGCTTTATAGAGAACCCTGTGGGGAAAGAGCTTGAGCATGGTCTCTTGTCCTCAAGAACCTTCCACAATGTGGGATGGGGTAGATAGGGTTGCATAAACCCTAGAGATGCATAAACCAGGCTGGTACAGAAGTCTGAGGCTGGGTGACTGCTACTAAAATTGGGGAACAGTTCCGTAAGTAGGCATCAAGGTATGCATAAAAGTATGGAAGGGCACTCTGTTTCAGTCCAGCAGTTCTTTAACTTCGAGTTGCTGGAAGTTCTGCAGTTCCCTTTAGATCCTTATGGGGTCTAAAGAGGCAGAGATTTGTTCAGACCAAACTTCAGTTTTCATAATAAAGTTTGGTTTAGGTTGTGTTGGAGTAGAATCTGGTTCTCTAATTTACAAAGCAGCTTAGTGCCATTAGGATGCCTATCTTTAAGGAGAAACTGCCTGAAATTTTTCTCTTGAGTATCACTTGACCTAGAGTCCTATCAGAGCTTTTCAGAAATGAAGCACAATAGCTGTTAGAAGCAAATGCTTTACTACTGTTTTATGGTTTGGTTATGAACCTCCACTAAGCTTCCTTCAGCTGTTTGTAGTTAAATGTGTGCTGACATAAACATCTCCCTATGCCTACTCTCTGCAGCTTCATTAGGGAGGAGGATTTCTCACAGCTTCTGTTACTGTGGTAGCTGAGGAAGAATGTCTCTGCAGTTGTTTGACATGTTCAAAATATAGAAACAAACATGTTCTCAGTTAGTTTCCCCCAGCGTAAGCTTTTGCTCTCCTGTCCCTGTTAGTTTGTGGCAAGCTTAGACCCTTGTTACATTATAATTTGGTCTGTTAAACTGCAAAGCTGTTCAGCTGAAATGTGATGGAGATATAAAACATACTAAGTACAACTGTCATTTCTTAACCAGTGATTTTTGATGTTTTGTATTAAGAAAAAAGGTATTATAGATTTCTCTGAGGAGAGAACTGTGAGGTAAACCTATTTTGTAGTCTGGTTGCTAGCAGCTTCATTCTTGCTAGTGTATTTAGATTAATGATTTGATGCTATGAGCAACTTTCACATGCGGAAGAATTGACGTGGAAGTTCTCATAACAGGAACAGATGAAGACAACCAACAAACCCATTTATTTAGTCTCATCATGGAAGGTCAAAATCTAAATTAAAGAAACTATTAAAGCTATGGAATAAAAAAGCTGAAGACCGAGAAGTTGTCCAGTGACCTGCATAGATTAACAGGGTGCAATAGTTTTTAAAATAGCAGAGTGTGAATTGTGGTTGTCACCACTAGATGGTCCCCTCATTACAGTTACTGGTTAGTAGGCTGCATCTCCAAAGCTGCATTTATACTTGAACTGATTCTACAGGTGTATTTACTGCAAGACTTAATGCAGTATAGAAAACACAAAGCATGTTCTGAAAACCTGAATAGCTGAAAGTGTTTTATTGATTAAAAGAAAATGTATTCTGTTGGTTGTAGAACTTCAGCAAAAAGGTGAAATGAACTTGACTCTTACTTTCAGCAAAACTGTTAATGGGCCAGGGATGTGGGAGATAACAAGGAAATCCCTTA